AAGTGGCTTCTGCACTTCAAGACGCCGTCGACGACGCGACAACGATCAACGCCAAGCTCCGACAACAAGTCGAGTACCTCACCAGTCTAGGACATTGCTTGGCTTCCTGGACGGCGGCAATCGACCGTCGGTGTAATGTGCCGGTATACAGTGGCCTCTCTGAGATTGCACTTTGAACTTATAGTTTTTGGGCTCTAGGAGGCATGCGAGCCGTTTACGTGGCAGCACGTCTGGCTCCCGACCGACCCGATGGCTCGTCGCACGAGTTTGGACTGGTTCACCCAGCGCCTCTACCACAACACGGACCGAATGCTTGCGCGCACGTCGTTTCCGTCGACGCCTATGCGGGTCATGGACCACGTCGAGATTGATCACGGCAATGGCTTGCTGGACCGTATCGCGCGTCTACAAGTTGATGTTGCGCTCTCATTGGAGGACACGTATGCGGCCATGCGCACCGCGATCTGGTCGACGTTGCGTGGCGACAACGCCCCCGTGTCGACGACGTATCTCGACCACGAGGTGTGTTCTTTCCTATTGTGCGTGCGCGCATACGCTAAGGGCGACGCGCTCTATTACCGGGTAGATGGTCGAGAGCATCGATGTCAACATGTATTACCAACGCATGCGCACCCCCACCAACAATTGCCAGTACAACGTTGGCCGCGAGTTCAAGTCTCACGATCGAATCGTCTTTTTGGTGGGTAACGTTCGACCGGCCGCCGACCCGAACGCGACGCATGTCGGCTGGCGCTCGCGTCTCGCCTGGTACCAATTCGTCTGATTGCGAATTCACCATAATGATTTTAGGTACATACTGGAGCGATTGGGACCATTAACAACGCGGGTACGCGTGCTTCTCTACAACGCGCCGTGCATCAACGCCAACGGCGAGTATATGACGTGGCACGAGGAGCATTGTAAAATCGACTGCTCGTTTTGCCACGTCCCCGAGGCCGATCGGTGGACGACGCACCAGCGCTTCATGGACGACTACGCGGCGATGTACCTCACGGAGCAGTGGCATGAGCTGGGCCTGCATTTGCTTCCGACGGTACCGAGCTAACTCGTTTCATATGATTGTGTGTGACGCTCAGTATACGAGCGTTTACAACTTGTTCGATAATATCGGGCTACTCGATGGTCCACGGCGACGGCTTGCCGTGGCCACCGCCTATGTCTTTCGAGGCAACTATGTACAAAACGTAGAATAATACAGTATGTTTTAAGAATAGGCGCTGATGACTGCGATCACAGTCTATCTGGCTCATCGTCCACCGCTCGTTTTCGCTCAAGGCGCAACTCGCACGTCGTGGCCCGGCGGGATGCGCGGATGTGCGCAGCGTCTGCGCTAAAGTCTTCCACGAGCCGCGACGGATAACTGAGTTTCTTAAAGATCGCGCGGCGCTCAGCACTGCTGTACCGGTTGATACGGCGCGGGGCCGTCTCGGTTGAGGCAATATCCACGCACTGCACTCGCTGATGGACGTACGCCATGCCGAGCGGAGGTCCGTCCTCGCTCGGAACGGAGCTGCCGCCGTGCGCGCGGCGGAATTCGTACACCGTCGCGCTGCTAAAGTGTACCGTCTTGGCGCGCTTTGGCGTCGATGGCCCGTCGCTGCTACGTGGCCGCTTCTTGGTCCCAGTGCTCTCGCCTTGCTTGCGCTGGAGCATGCTGCGTTACGTGGCGAATGCACTTGTGGCGAATTGCACCATTTTTGGCGCGGGAACGCAGGTTTACAAAGACACGCAATGCGTTTTGGTGAAAAAAGATGTGAAAATTTGCATGCATGGGCGCCATCCACAGTACGGTTGCATGTGTGTGGTATGCAAGAGGTTTTCCCACGCTATTTCTCACGCATGAAAACACCGTGTGATGGGTGGTGGAAAACGTAGACAGTAGGAAACTTTGGACCGCTTGGGCCGTTCGTTTCGCAACATCAATGCACAGATTGTCATGTAAAACTGCACATAAAAGGAGCATGTGGTCTGGTGCGTAAAAACGAGGGACATTATACATTTTTGTACTAGTACCGATCGGTCCACTGTATCTCAATGGCGCAGCTTTGCCTAGGTGCACACAGAACATATGATGTACAAGCTCACAGAACATATGGTGCGGATGGAACGCATCTCTCTCATATCTTCCCGACCCTTGCAACCCCTCAACCCAGGGGATCCACAGAAATGAGAGAATACACTCTTACTCCCAAACTCTTTAACCCGGGGCTTTAATGACCTTTAGCGCCCTCAAACCCTCGCAGCCCCTTTAGGCCGCATACACCCACCTGCTTCCTGGCCAATCAAAAACACCAGGACCCCTGCAGACCATCTGTTCTGTGTGCATCTAGATACCAATTCGGGATGCACCCAAGCGTTAGCCGGGTGGCGAACAACTTGTTTTCCAAAGTGCCAACTCGCGACCTACCACGGATGTTTCTTTGAGCATTCCATTGTCCACGCAGCATTTGTTCATTGGTTTCGGTATGCTGGCTGCTTAGAATGATGGTAGATGGACGCGAGTGTAGGCGATCCCAATCAAGCTGATCAAAGGCCGTCCGTCACACAGTCTTGAATTGGCTTGATCGCAACGTCTTTGCAAACAATGCTATCGAGCCCCACAAACGACGATACGTGCGCCTATGCACCGAGCTCGACGCCAAAAGCCAGCGCGCCTCCAGTCTCAAGGACGCCGGTCAAAGTGCCTCTCGCCAAGCTCTTTTCGTTTGCTGACAATACGGACAAGGTCCTCATCGCGCTCGGTACCTTGAGTGCCATGGTCACGGGTGTCCTCCAGTCCATCCAAATCGTCTTCTTTGGTGATGCCCTCAACGCCGTGGGCCCCAACCGCCTGAGCGACGATACCGAAAACTTCCGTGCGGGCATCCGCCGCATCGTGATCCAGTTTGCTGTTGTCCCGATTGCACTTCTGTCCGGTCTCGCACAGATT